TAATGACCCATATCACTATAATATAAATAAGTTTTAATTTAAAAATGTTTTAAAGAGACTCATACTACGTTCCTCTTGAGAACTGTTCGTCATAGACGATTGGGAAAATAATATTCTTATAGTTAAAGTCCATATAAAGAGTCTATTAGAGACATTAGTGAATCGGGGGATCCCGCAATAATAGAACTAACTGCACCTGATTCTGTTTACATACCTGAACAAAAGATGAGTCGTATATCATTAAATAAAGGTTTTCGTAAACAGAACAACCTGAACGCCTCTGACAATATCTTTATTTCCTTCTTCATTCCTTCTCCATGCACGTTAAATCATGCGATCGTAGGAAAACGATCCAGAGCCATGTCTTTATTTCATTTGTGAAGAAACATATAAGTAAAATTAAGTAAGATTGGAGTTATTTATATAAGACTCTGCGACACATGCCTCCAGAGAGGTCTTTTATGGAAAATTTAAGTGTTACTAACGCGAATAAAACTGGAAAAAATCCATGTGGCCAACCCGTTAGCGAGTCGCTAATCCGCTACAATTGTTCACTGTATTATCTACTCGGACAATGGTAAACACAGAATTAAGTAAGAACTACAATAAAAGTAAGATAAGAAATTTGATAATCAAGTTTTATTGCAAAAATAAATACATTTCTACTTTAACTCCTTGTTACACAAAATTATAAAATCTCCACGGCGTGTTTCTGCTGTTGCAAAGAGATATTTAATTCCCTGCCATCGGTTCTATGATATCTTCAACAATTGAGCGGAGAATTCCGAATTGTCTATTTACCTGACGAAAAAAAATTTCGTGGGCTTCATTAGAAAGCCTTCACATTCTCATCCAACAATGGGATTTCCCACCTACACATTTTCCATGGGCAGGAAACGTTCCTTCCACGCCATCATGGTGTTTCATGCCACCCATTTGAAAGATCTTTTCGAATATGATTTCCGTTTAAGGTTGATCATAAAGAAAGGTTGATCATAAAGCAAGGTTGATCATAAAGCAAGAATTCACCAGTATTATATTTGTAGAGAGAATGTTTCCTCAAGAGAAAACAGAGTGATGTTTTCAAGAAACTTTCTCGTCTAGATTAGACAGTTAATACTGTTGTAATAAAGTTTCTTGTCTGCTATATTGGTTTTACTTGACAGATTTATTCTTCTTTATATAAAAACAACCACCTTTATCTAATTTATTTGTTACGATGATGAAACTTGTGGCTCCATATTTGGCTTCTGATTTCACGTAAAGATCTTAGATTAATCATAAAGATGTGGAGTAAAATATAAAAATTCTTTTCCTAATTAATTCTATAGAAGAGAAAGTAAACTATTTTCGGACAATTTATTAATATAATATCAAGAAAACGTTCTCTACAACCCTCTAAATGCCAGCTACTCAACTTTTTAAAAATATATTATTAATATATAAACAGGAAACACTTTAACTACTTGTATATAAAATTTAAAATTTTCTAATTATATTTTTAATTTATTTAATTTAAAATATACGCTCTCCATCTCAAATTAGTAGTGGCTTGCCCCTGTACATCATACTTTTCCTTTAACAATAGAGTCGTGCAGGTCATCTATCTAACGCATTTCAGGGGAACAATTTTGAATTGAAATAACGTAACTTATGGTTTGCATCGTACGTTTAAATACTGCTAATCGGTGGGTCTCTTGCCGATACTATTTCTATATGTAATCCCATCGTTTATCTGTCTCAATAGGTTCTCGAGATTAAGGAAACACATACTATTCATTGTTTTATCAACGTGGAATTAAAAAGACTCCACAAAATTTCAGTCTGGCATTGTTTCTAGCAAGAGTGAGGACCTTCTTTGGGATATTCCTTACTTTTGTTTAGTGCACTAAACAAAAACAAATTATTCAAGTTAATAATAAAATCTGTAAACCGAATAACATAATAACTACGGAAGTTTATTTAATTAGTAAATTTAGTGATGTCTTTATGGTTTTCAGTAATAAATTTAAAGGAAATTGTAAAACTTAATGATTCGTAAAAATCAATGGTTCATCATAATTAAGGATAGAGTTGATATTTAATGCTTTTATGACGTTAATGTGAAATAATTAAGATCATCTTAGCATTTAAATAGCAGGAAATGTTTATTTTTTTTGTACTAATTCTATTGAAAATGATTTATGTACGTGTAAGACAATGATAAAACAATCGTTTATCTGATCGCTAATCGAACAAAAAAAGACGTATCCTTCTTTGATTTTATATTGTCTAATTAGACATTGTTTATAAAGAGGAAATGGAAATTAAATTGTCATATAAAAGGGTAATCTTCTTTTTCTCATAAGACAATTTCAAATCCCAATTAATCATTTTGAGAAAATTTCATTTGAAATTTTGCTGTTGACCTACATCCACCCTTTACGAAATGTCTTCTTTATCTGATTTAATAGCTCTTTTCCTAACTTCAACAGTGATAATAATTTATTATTTTTAATCGTTATTCAATAAGGAAATATTAAACTGTAAAGCTATATTTGATCACTACTTATATATATATATAAACATAAAGTATAAGTATAAGTATGAAGTTTATTGGACAATGAAAATGACAATCAAATAAAAAATACAATAAACACAATTTACAACGTAAAATTAGCTAATGTTTAAGTGTTATAAAGGTGAAGAAAACCCAGGAAATTCCACGTGAACAACTCATTGGGGAGGGGCGAACTCGAAATATCTATGTTCTTTTTTTAGTTGTCATTTTTTATAGTAGAAAATGAAATATAATATAATATAACGTGTCATGTTATTTCACGTAATGTAAGTACTGACGTTGTCACTTCTTGCTTCTATCAGACAGTTGTTTGTTACCTTTAAATGAATTCTTAAATAATTTATTGTTCTTTTTACACTTTATAAAATTCCATAATGTGTAAAAGTTATATATAAAGATAATATTTAAATTAAAAAGAGTATATAATTTTTAATTTAGCATATAGATAAGTTTATTTCAGAACGTCGAGAAATGCCAAAAGGTTTTGGGGGGGGGTTTTCTGTATATATTAATGTGTGTAGGGACGATTTTGTTCATCTTCTTTCAAGCTTAATAACTTCTGTGCCTTTTGTCGAAAATTTCTGAAATTTTACAGGGGGGTTTGTGTATTAGATGTATTGATTCTGTTAAATTTTGGTGGTTAAAGGTCGACGGGATGGGGAGAAAGAAAGAGTCTTGTGTCATATCTCGAGTATGGTCGGACTTAATGACGATTTTATATAATGAAACTTATATTCAATGCCCCTAATCCATTTTCTATTGTGTGAGAAAGGCTTGGAGATATTCTTAAAAAACTTTTCTATGAGCTTCACACTTTGTGTCCGAAGCAGGAAACCATTGAACGCAATCTTTCTTCTCACCCCTTTATAATAAAGGAAAAGGAAAGGTTTCACACTGTATCTGTGAGACAGTGGATTTCTTTTTTGTCTTTTTCATTGACATGACGTTCAAAGTAGCGAAAATATATAGTTTTCAATCTGTTTGTCAAAAGAAAACGGGCCTTGGATTGTATAATGAATTATCTACACGCGTAACAAAACCTATCTGGTGAATTAACATAGGAATGGCAACGGGATTTTTCCATTTTGAGTGTAAATAACACAGTAAACAGCAACCACGTCCCTTTTAAAAACTCTGAAAGTATTGTTAGTTACGGCAACACTTGAGCGATTATCCTAAGGGTGATGCCTTTCGGAAGATCATTTAAGGATAACTGACCCCTATTTAGGCATTAAAGACGTGGAGAAAACCTGGAAAACCCCAAGTAGCCAAACATTTTGTATTGTTAATTATTATAATATGGCAAAAAGGTTAATTTTATAACGGGTTTTATAAAAAAAGAAATTGTAAATGCTAATAACCAGGAAAATCTGAGATATTACACACGACTCTATCTTTCTTCTCACCCGCTCGACCTATAACCACCAAAATTTAACAGAATCAATATACCTAATACACAAACCTCCCTACAAAATTTCATAAATTTTTGACAAAAGACACAAGAATTATTAAGCTTCAAAGAAGGTAAACAAAATTGTCCCTCCATACACTAACGTTCATACATACAGAAAAACCCCTCAAATATTAATATAATATAATAAATTTACATATTTCAATATAATTGATACGTTGTCACATGAATAAACTTCAATAAATTAATAAAGATAGCTTCAAAATGGTTTTTGTTTTGAAAGCACTGAACCGTTTTCGATATATTAATAATAATGTATTATAATGATATTCATTATTTATTCATCTTATTCATTAGTTTTTCTCTAACAATACATTATTAATTAGTTCTAGTATCACTTGAACTAATTAACCTTTGATCTGCTATATGACCTTATCAATATTTCGAAAAAATGATTGTTTTAAAGGTAATTAAAAATCTTTATTATTAAAGAACTATTTTTGCATTGTTATGAAATTAGAACACGTATCATACAAGGTCGATAATTGTTTTTTAATTTACTATATAATAATCATATTTTTCTTTTAAAATTATAGACATTCACACAAGCAGAAGAAGATATAATTTAAGAAGTTGTATTAAAGTTCGTCGTAAGTATTATAGAGCTAATTATTAATTTATTACATATAATGAATGTTTGTATTATGTACCATCGTGTTAAGTTAAAAGTAATATAATCCCACCCCTGTTTTCCCTAATTTTTGCCTACTGAACCCACGATGGGTATGAAAATAAGAGTGTCTTTGGCCCCACACGGGGTGGAGAGTTAAAGAAATATGTTAAAACTTTTAATTTTCCCTTCTTACTACCGGGTGGGGGTTTTACCTGCACAGTAACAGATAAAACTTTCATTTACCTATAAAATTTACAGCCTATAGAGTCATTCAGCACATACATAAAAGTCTAATTGTTCCAGTATATCCCTCCAAATATCAATTTATATATGGTATATTTTTTTATTTATTTAAGAAATTATTACCAGACAGAGGAACGTATTTAATGTGCACCACAAAGATGTACGAATATGATATAAAGTTGCTTTATTTTCTGACTATAATCGTAACAGCAGTGGCAAGAAATGGTAAGTTTTACTAATACGATTAATGGCAAAGATACAGGAAAATATTATTATTTTATTATTGTTTTAGTTAATTATCACCTTGAAGATTTGTTAAATCCTAATTTGTTCGAAGGAGATATCATTGGAATAAAGAATAACGATGTAAGTTTCTTTATATAAACGTCCTTTAAACATTAACGAAATAACAATTCAATTATAACACTTAGGTAAGAAATGCTATAACAAATCGTAACTTAAAATGGCCTAATGGAATCGTTCCTTACATCATCGATCCTTCTTTGGGTTTGTTTTTTATATTTAAATTATTTTAAAGAATATTGAAAAAGAAATTAATAAAATCTTAATATTACGAACAGCGAATGTAACTAATCGAATAAAAGAAGCTATGGATGAAATAACTGGAACAACATGCATTAAATTCGTACCAAGAACTACTGAAGAAAATTACGTTCGGTTTTTCAGGGGAGAAGGGTGAGTTAATTATATATTTATGTAAATTATTGAGTATATTTTGAGGCCATTTTGTTTTAGTTGTTATTCTAAAGTTGGACGTAATGGAGGATCTCAACCGATATCTTTAGGAAGAGGATGCCACGTGAAGAATATTATCGTTCACGAAATTGGTCACGCTCTTGGTTTCTATCACGAACACAGTCGCTCCGATAGAGATTCGTATCTAATAATACATTGGGATAATATTCGAACGAGTAAGAAAGTTATTTTTAAGATATTTTATTAAAATTTTAATTTTCTTTTTTAAATGAAATCGATTTACTTTTAGATATGGCATCACAGTTTAGAAAACTTCAGCCAAATCAGAATATACTCTTTAATAATTTTGATATTAATTCTATTATGCTTTATGGTGAAACAGCATTTTCTAAAGATGGCGTTTCTAAGACAATATCGTCCAAATCAGGAGTAAGACTAAAGAAAACAAATGAGAAACCAGGTTTATCTACTAGTGATATCTCGCGCATTAAAGCATTGTATGAATGTTAAAATAAAGTCAAACAAATACAAATTTGTAATATAAGAATATATAGGTTATATCAAAACCGTATTAAATCATAAAAGTATGTAAATAGTATCAATAAAAAGAGATTACTTTTCATCCTTTATTACAAAGTTTTTTTTTTTTAATTTTTTTCAAAGATTTCTTTAATACCATGTGTTTAACATTCTTTTCTACATCTTTTTTGCTTTGAAAGGTGGTGAATTATCACTCTAGAGATTCTGGATCATCTTCTCTTCTCTTCTTCGTCTTCTCTTCTTCATCTTCTCTTTTCTTCTCTTCTTCATCTTGTCTTCTTCATCTTACCTTTTCTTCTTCATCTTTATCTTCTCCCTTTCGTCTTCTCTTCTCTTCTTCGTCTTCATCTTCTCTAGAGATTCTGGATCGAATCCAAAAAAGGTAAAAAATCTGCATGAATTTTTTGGGGGTGGTTCATCTTGATCTGTCAAACCCCATCCTTCACCACTCTGACTTTTTATTGTGGGCCTGGCTTGTACCTACTGGCCAAAAAGATCATCTTAGTGCCCACAGGGAGGAAAGAGTTATATATATATATGAAAAAAAACACATGTTTCCCGAAATTTTAAAAGAATAATATATTTTAAATGTTTGTTTTTAATTTTAATAATAAAGATTATTTCGTATTGTGTTTAATTTTATCATTACACTACTCTTGGAACGTGGTAATGAAATTAAATCAGATGCAAGATTAAATATAATTAGATCTTACTTATTTTTGTTTTTAAATGCAAATTAAATTATCGTAATTGAAAAATATTATAAGAATGAAAGAATTCCGAGTGAAATTTCTGACGTAGTTACTGTAGTTTAGCTATTCTTATCAGGATAATTATCATTTATTAAGAATAAATACAACTTTGTACCTACTCAAAATGAAGAAGAGAAGAAGAAGAAGAAGAGAATATGAAGAAGAGAAGACGAAAGAGAGAAGAGAATAAGAAGAAGAGAAAGCGAAGAAGAGAAGAGAAAATGAAGATGAAGAAGAGAAAAGAAGAAAAGAGAAAGTAGAGAAGAGAAGATAAAGAAGAGAAGAGAAGACAAAGAAGAGAAGAAAAGACAAAGAAGAGAAGAAAAGACAAAGAAGAGAAGAAAATATGAAGAAGAGAAAATGAAGACGAAAAAGAAAAAAGAGGATGAAGAAGAGAAAAGAAGGGAAGATGAAGAAGAGAAGAGAAGATGAAGGCGACGAAGAGAAGGGATGACAAAGAAGAGAAAAGAAGGGAAAACGAAGAAGAGAAGAGAAGATGAAACAAGATGAATAAGATGAAGAGAATACGAAGTGAAGAAGAAAAGCAACGAGAGATAAAAGAAAAGCTTTTAATTACTTAAATTTAATTAAAGTTGTGATTATAATAATTTTAAGTAAAATAAACGTTACTTAAAAGAAATTTAGAAACGTTTGCATTCCTAGTACTAACAGAATAAAGAAATTCGACTTGTAATACAGTAGTATAAAGAATATACATTATTTAAAATAACACTTTAATGAAAAACTGTAATTTCTATTATTGTAATTTTATAATATGATGTTAATATCAATAGGCTTTGATGATAAGAATTAAGTTTTATTTTTTAGTTTGTTGTAGTTTATCGACCCCTTTTTTAAAATAATTAATGCTGCTGTGAATATATAATGAAATAATACGGAAATGGTAGCTGTTTTATACAGATTTTTTCTAAGTCGATATTATTATTATTATTCTATTATAGTATTTATTAAATCTATTAAAGTATCATATATTATACCTGTAATATTCAAGAATAAATAACATTATTGTGGAGAATAATCAATAAGAAATGAATAGTATAACATTTAATACTATAATTTCAAGTTATAATTGTGTAAAGTTCTTAAATATTCTGGTAAACTCTATTTTAAATTTCATATGTTTTCTTCTTGTTGTTTCACTTATAAGTTAGTAAGCATCTTGCAAATGTTATCAATATAAAACTTTACCTAATATCTTTTCCATTTCAATATCTGTATAGATCTTTAATGTCTTTCCATAAATATCAAATGTCTTATTGAAATGGAAGTGAGTAGGAACATCCGACTCGACCAGTTTTACATTCAAAGGAAAGACATTAGCAATTCTCTAGAGAATCTCTTCTAAATCGAAATATTGTAAGAATAATTTTTGTTATTATTTGAAGCACTTTATATAGAAACAAAAAAATTATTGATTGAACAAATCCCCATTAAGTTTACTCTCTTAAGCTTTTATAAGAAGCTACATTTTATCTGAATAAATGTAGGGGAGGAATGGAAAATATACCATCTTTGTATATTACATAATTAATATAAACACTTGTAAAAATCTTCTAAAAGTTTAATTTATAATAATGGGTTTTTATAAAAATTGTAAATGCTAACGAGTAAAATCGTAATTTATTCTAACCATACTTCAGATACGACACACGATCTCCTCTTTCTCTCTACCCCGTCGATCTTTAACCACCAAAATTTAATAGTATCAAACCCCCCAATACAGAGATTTTCCTGCAAAATTTCAGAAATTTTCAACAAAAATCAGAGGAGTTATTACGCTTCATGAAGAGTAAACATATTTGTGCCACCTGTACACACACAATAACATCAACACATACCGAAATTACCCCCGAACTTTTTTGTATTTCTTTTTTACAAAAAGAGAGAAGAAAAGATGAAGAATAGAAGATGAAGACGAAGAGAAAGGAAGACAAAGAAAAGAATAGACGATGAAGAAGAGAAGAGAAGATGAAGAAGAGAAAAGAAGAGAAGAGAGAAGATGAAGAAGAGAAGAGAAGACATTCTTGACGTTTGAAACATTCCTGAATCCTAAAATGTCATTAATTTCCTTACTTTTCCTTCTATTAAATATAACAGAGCCGGAAAAGTAAAAAAATTAACACCTAAATAGGGGTGATTTTTCTGTAGAAAGTCCTCTCGGGTAGCATCTCCCTTGAGGAGTTGTCGTAAACAAGAAGAATATATTTCCAATTTTAAACATATCTAAAAGGAAATTAAACAATGATAAAAATATATTTAAACGTAATTAATTATGCGAAAGACATTTTAATGAAGTAAACTATTGTGTACAGATTACTAAATAAACATTAACGAAAATTAATAAGCGATATAGGATATAATTAATTTCTATTAATGTAATTTTGATTATAATTTTCGTAAATTCTTACAAAATCTTATCAATTAAATCAAACTAAAGAATAAAATCTCGTAAAATATAGATTAAACAGACACAATAGAGCAATCTAATGCAAATACCAAGCTATTTTTATGTATTAAATTCTATTATCTCGCATGCCAATGTGAATTCTACTTTAATAATATTTTATTCATATGTAGAAATATCTACTAAAGGCATTCGATGATAAATCCTTTAACAGGGAGCCTTAAAGGGATTATTTACGTGTCGAAACTATATTATACTATGTAATTACCTCGTACGTATGCCGAGAAGTTATCGATAAATTATCGTAGAAGGGGGAAAGAGCTTTGAATTTGTAATTTAAGTAACTGTTTATATTGTTTTCCGGAATGTATATGGAGGAATAAATCTATTATGAAGCCTAAATGGCCATGTATTTGTAATTATTTCAGGAATAACTTATAACAGGTATAATAGATGCTTAAAACTTATTATATAGAGCTGGCACGCCATCGTGCTGGTACTATAGTTGCTCCATTCAGGGAGAAAAGTACTCTGTCAGCCCACAAAAGGTGCTGAAGGTGTTGTGACTCGTTATGCTGTACATGATGTTGCATCACTCAAATGGTGTGTGGGGCATCCCCTGCATGTCGTGCTGGTTGCAGATAGAAGCATCGTATTATATTAATAACATTTTTTATATTTTTAACTATTGTAAAATGGCACAAAGCTTAATTTTGAAGGTAGAGATGAGTTTTATAAAAGAAAAATTGTAAATGCTAATAACGAATAAAATCGACCCTATACGAACCCCATTATCTCCTCACCCTCTTAAACTTTAACCACCAAAATTTAACGTCATCAATCACCCTAATAAACAAACCTCCTTGCGAAATTTCAGAAATTTTCGACAAAAGTACTAGAGTTATTTAGCTTTAAACAGGGTGAACATCGTTCCTCCAATACACTTACATAGAGAAATTTCTCCCGTATTATTTTGCATTTCTCGACGTTTCAAGGTGTAAACTAAATTATTATTTTATCTGCAGAAGCATTAATAACACCAAAATTAATATGAAAAGTGTTTAAGATATATTATATTTTTGTACACAGTTCAGTTAATTAATAATCTAACAAGGTTAGTAAATTGGAAATTATTAATACAGTCGACCCCCCCTATAAGATCATTGATTATTCCGTTTTATATGAATTCCATGTTGTACGAGTCACTTAAATTTTACAAATACGTGAGCCGTTCACAGCCCGGTACACGTATTTGGAAAATCTAAGTGACTCGTACAACACGGAATTCATATAAAACGGAAAAATCAACAGTGTTATAGGGGTCGAATGTGATTGATATATTCCTGATTTATATTTATTAATTGGAACAATAACAGTTTAATATAATAAAGAAATTAAAGATGCTTAAATATTTAAATAACTTATAGATAATAATCATAAAGTTACTGTGTAGTTTTATACAAATAATACAATACAAATGCGGGTGTCTTTTTGCTTATTCTGTAGTATTCCACATATACAGTACGGTCGTAAAGTCCTATTTAACAATGAACTTCTCTCTCGACAGAGCTGATAAAAAGGGTTATAACCAACATGAGCACTCGGTGTACTGTATAGCATGTGTGTGTGTGTGCAAGATGGAATTATGTGCTGTATTAGTCATTCCTTGTGCAACATATAATTCCAAATAATGCTTTAATTTTTAAAGCTGAGTGTCTATGAAAAGTAATAACAATTTCTCCCAATTGTTAAATGAATATAAAAAATTTTGCAAATCTTTTATGTTTATTAAC